TTATCCCATTAGTATGTATTCCCCATAATCCTGCTGAACGCATCACACATGCATTACCTGCATGAGCATTTAACATCATTTCATAACACATGTCATAGGTCCTTTTTCTTTTCTTTTTTTTTCTGTACTACCTAGTTGTTTAATTGTCTTAGATTTCTAGAAAGAGAAAGCATTGTAGGACTATTGTAGAACACAGTCCTCTGAGCAAAATTGTCACTCAGATCACCAGTGGCTGCTTGCAAGAGTCCATCACGAATGGACCTGTGGTCTGTTGACACTGACACTCCCTCAGAGGAGGAGGGAGTGCTCCCAGGCATTTTCATGCAATTCTCCCCTAATTGCACAAAGTGGGGGTCTCTTGAGGTGCTAGAGTACATAGGCTGGGGGAGGTTAATTGATGGGGGCACCATCTATGCAGCTCTGGAGAAGCCATTATCCATTTTGGGTGAACACTTCCCAGTGTGTTGGCTTTGGGGTCACCCATGCTCCTGCCAGGAACCCCTCACCCATGCTATGTAAGTAAGTTCAATAAATTCACTGGTTCCCCATGGGGTACTTAGTGGAACTGTACTTTGGTTTGTGGTTGAGGCCTTATGAAGGGGGGCAGACACCGTCTGTGCCTCCCCAGGGAAGAAACAGCCACAACAATGGAAGAGTCATTAGTAACCAAAGCCTATAACCCCCCACCCCCTGCCATGTGGACTGAGTTCTTTGCTTGTAGATTTGCATTTAAGCATCTCGGGATTGATTCTATATTTCTCTTGCATGGAGACAAAGCTTCAGGGATAAGATAGTTAATGTGATTATTCCACATGTCCATTCTCTGATTACATGGTATGCTGTCTTTGATGAGGAGGTGCAGCTATACCCAATAGGAACAGGGTAAAACTCTAGATCTCCTTCATGGCTGGGAACAGATAAGGATAGAAGAAGGGAGAAACAGGGTCTAGCTGAGGGGCAAAGATTCCAGGGAGGGTTGTTTGAAAGATACAGCAGCCATTTTCTAATTGAGCATCACATTGACAGCCATGATGGAGCCCCTCCCCCAGTTAGACACTCAACACCCCCTTCATTCCTAAAGCCATGCTTTGAAGACACCTTCAAGAACACTCCAGCCGACCTCCTGATATGTTTACAATGAGGCAGTTGCCTCCTGGGGGAGTTGAGAAGGAGCTTCACACCCAGTTATAAAAACAGTCTGAAAAAACTGGCACATGGAAAGCTCTTTTGTTTAGTAGTGTTCTAGAAAATCAGATCAACACTCCATTTTAAAAAAAATTTTTTTATTTTAATTTTATGTGCATGAGTGTATTGCCTGCATATATGTGAGTGCACCCGTGTCGTGCAATGAATGCCTCAGAGGTCAGAAGAGGGCTTCAGATTCTCCTGGAACTGGAGTTAAGGATGGTTTGTAGCCGTCATGTGGGTGCTGAGAATTGAACCTGGGTCCTGTGCAAGAGCAGTCAGCTCTTAACTGCTGAGCCATCTCTCCAGACCCAATACTCTTATTTTTTAACTTTAAAAAATTTCTTTTACTTTTTATGTGTATGAATGTATTGCCTGCATGTATGTGTCCTGCAGTGCCCAAGGAGGACAGAAAAGAGTGTTGGATCCCCTGGAATTGGAGTTATGGATGGTTGTTATCCACCATGTGGATGCTGGGATTCAAACCTGGGTCTTCTGCAAGAACATCCAGTGCTTTTAACTGCTAAGCCATCTGTCCAGCCCCTTATTTATTTGTTTGTTTGTCTTTTTGAGACAGGGTCTCCCTGTAGCTTCCAGCTGACCTGTAACTCACTATGTAGACCAGGCTGGCCTTGAACTCACAGAGATGCACCTGCCTTTGCCTCCTGAGTGCTGAGATTAAAGGCGTGCGCCACCGCACCTGGCTGATTTTTTAGCAAGATTTGTTTTTGTTTATGTATATGTGTCTGTGTGAGTATGCACACATGAGTGCAGATGCCTGCAGAGGCCAGAAGGGTCCCCTTGGAGCTGGGGTTACAGGTGGTTGTAAGCTGCTTGACATGACCACTGAACCATCTCTCCAGCCCCTTGTGAGGATTCTCAGGTGACACCTCTCCCCGCTCCTCCAAATAAAAAGACTTGTGTTTGTGACGGTGTCTCATGAGGGGCCTTCAAATGCTACTAGCTGGACAGGGCTACTGTGCGCTTGCTGAGGTTCCACCTCCAACCCATTTCCTCTTCCTTCCGAGGGTAAGCTATACATCTCTGCTTAGGCCTCAAGCAGGAGGAGGATTTACCTCTAGGGTTCTTCTCTCATATTAAAACACACACACACACACACACACACACACACACACACACACACACGCACACAGATGCTCCTGTCACAGCATTTATGAGCAAGATCCTGGGCTTGGCCACGTCTCTTTGACAGTGAGCCGTTGATAAGGCTCCCGGGCCCACACTGTGGAGTCTCAGATTAATTATATGTCGTGCACGCTTGCCGCTCTTCCTTCCCCACCTACCTGATGTTATTTTCACTTTCAGCCACTTTTTCAGGCACTCTTGGTGAACAAACTGCAGGCTTCCCACACAGCCACAAGGCTCCAGGAGGGGGTTGGCTGGGGAACCCCCGGCTATCTGACAGATGCGACACAAGTCTCCCTCCTCCTCAGAGTCCTCCTCCAGGAGACTAAATGGAAAACAAGGCCTTGTAACCGGGAGTCTCCATGTTTGCTGTTTCCGTAAATATCAGTTCCCAGGATATTCATGGGGGAAGGGAGAGCAATGCCCTCATGCCTAGCCTGTCTACGCTTCTGGGCCTCACCTACTGCTCCCTCAGACCCTGCGAGGATTCCAACTACAGGGCTATTGATCATTGATGCACACGTTCTCTGCAGGCACTGATACATGTGAATTCACTGGGAGGACCAGCATCATTACCACAAAGAAGTGAGGGGTGTAGTGAGGCATGTAGCTCAGGGACAGGGTGCTTGTCTAGCATGGGAGAGACCCTGGGTTCGATTCCCAGCAGTACAAAACGTGGAGGGGAGAAAGAAAGGGGTTAGGCAAAGCTGAGAGCCCCTCTCCCTGCCTTAGCCACCCTGAGGAGGATGACCATACACTGGTAAGATCATAGGGTTTCATAGTCAGGGCTCCTGCATTCGAAGCCTGCCTCTGAAGTTTTGAATCACGTGACCTGAGACTTTTGTTGTCTGTTTCACAAGGTTGTGGGCAGACTTGGGTGTGTGACAAGAGTGAACCTGTTTTGCAGGCTGCAAAGTGTGTCAAGTATCCAGCAAAGCTTTAGCACCCAGAGGTCACTCTTAGGCCACTCAGTAGCTGGGACAAATGATGATGGATGTAAACTCACCAATAACACACTTGCCAACAAGTGATGTCCACATTCCAGAAGACAGACTTCTGCAAGTTGATGAGGATGGACTTGTTGAAAATGTAAGCAGAGATACTGGTTTTAGTAAATGAAGAGTGAAGAGCTGACTGTGATCATGTTCAGAGGCTCTAAGAAGATGACAGCCATTTCCCCACCTCTTTAGAATCTTTGTGGGAATGTGGGCTGTCTGATCAAGAAAAGTGGCTGAAGACTAAACTCAAAGGAAAGGAAGAAATGGGCAGTGCTCTGGGTACATGCCTCCAGTGGCTTTGTTAGAGATAGGGTCTCACTGTGTAGCCCTGGCTGGCCTGGAACTTGCTAGGTAGACTAGGTTGGCCTGATCTCACAGAGATCCTCCTGCCTCTGCCTTGTGAGTGCTGGGACTAAAGGCTACCATATCTGTCTCAGTACCTCCTATTTAGAGATGAGGATTGCAAAGGAAGCAAAGAGCTCTGTCAGGAGGAAGCCAAGAGAACAGGGAAAGGAGTCAGCTGACCCCAGAAGGCCTGAATGACTAGGATAACAGAGGACTCTTCTTCAGAACATTCCAGAGGAATGTTGCCAGCTTCTCTATAAGAACAACCAAGAAGCTTCTGGGTGTAGTGCTATGCACCTGTAATCCCAGCGCTGGGAGGGACAGGCAGGAGGATCCCAAGTCTAAGGCTATCTTGGGCTATCTGGTAAGTTCCCAGATAAGACAGAAGAACTTGTCTTAAAAAGAAAAGAAAAGAAAACAAAAATCCCCCAAAACAAAACTAAAACAACAAACTGAATAAATAAAACAATGATTACTGGGGAATTACAAAAGCATAATTAACAGAATTATAAAAAACCCCTTCAACCATAGCAGTATTAATAGACAAAATTGAAAGCTAAAAGCACAATATACATTGGCTGATCCACCAAAAAGATGTTAATCATTAGCTTTAATGTGTCAAATAAAAGCCAAATTCCTATAAAGGAGACTGGAAAATCTGAATTACTGGAAGTAGGATTTTGTTTTGCTTTTCAAAATATTTTTATTATTTTTATTTTATGTGTATGAGTGTATTGCCTGCATGTATGTAAGTGCACCCACGTTGTGCAATGCCTGTGGAGGTCAGAAGAGGGGTGGGATTCCCTTGGAACTGGAGTTATGGACAGTTGTTAGCCGCCACGTGGGTGCTAGAAATCAAACCTGGGTCTTCTGCAAGAGCAGTCAGTGCTCTTAACCTCAGAGTCATCTCTCTAGCCCCTTTAGTTTTGTTTTTGAGGCAGGGTCTCCTGTAGTTAAGGTTGGACTTGAACTCCCTAAGCAGTTGAGGATGACCTTGAAATTCTGATCCTCCTGCCTCCATCTCAGTGCTGGGATTACAGGCAGGTACCACCATATCCAGTTTATGCAGGGATTCAGCCCAGAACTTCATACATGCTGGGCTACATCCCCAGCTCAGTGGTGTGAGGTTTTCATAAATATCTTTCTGAAATTGACAAACTGTAAAAAAAAAATATATATATATATATTTCAGCCAGGCGTGGTGGTGCACGCCTTTAATCCCAGCACTTGGGAGGCAGAGGCAGGTGAACTCTGTGAGCCTGGTCTACATAGTGAGTTCCAGGCCAGCTGGGGCTACAGAAAAACCCTGTCTCAAAAAGACCAAAAAATTTATATATATAAATAATATATATATAGTATATATTACAATATGGAGGATTTTAACAGGAAAAATTTTCAAGTATATTTTA